AAAACTGTAGACAAGTTTAACCTAACCTTCAGGAACAGGCACCCCCAGAAATGTGAGGTGAGAGAGCAAATACCCATTTGAGGCTAGAAGAAAGAATGAGGCAAGAGTTTGGAGTGAATCACCCCTGCAATACTGATTGATGTTTCTGTAGCTGTTTCCTTCATTCCAATTTCTGTAACCACAGATAGTCATTGATCTTAATTAGCATAGCATATATATTCATCAAGTATACATGCATTGATTATTTCTGGTGCAACTTAAATACACTTTAGAGCATCAACTGAAGCTGACAGAAAATTTGCCCAAGGCAGAGAATAGGCAAGGATCTAGATATGCAAAGAAGGGAGCTGTGTGAGGAAATGGAATTGGGTGGAAAACTGAACATGAAGACTGATAAGGAGAACATGAAGACTGATAAGGAATGCTGAGGCTGCCAAGGAGACAACTGGAACCCTGACCGTTTTAGGAGAATGGCTTATTGTGTTAGCTAAAGGATTCACTGAAGTTACAAAAAACTTGTGATATAAGCATCATCAGATAAGTCTCAAGAAACTTAAGTTGACCAATATCGGGAGAGACTTTTGAGTTTGTCGGTGCACCACCAATGCTTTGATTGGTGAATCCACTATACTCTGAAGGAAGACATCCTCCGCAGGATAAGTGATGGTGCATATCAACCAGGAGTATTAATAAATAACAAATCTCTTTAATAAAATCAACCTGTGTGATAAACTGAGTGTCAGATTATTTAATAATCTTACTGATCATACAATGCAGCATCTCTGGCTTGTGTTGGGGAGAGTAGCAGTGAAAAATAAGGTCAGAAAAACAGAATCATGTCCTCACCTTGTCCATAACAATTCTGTGGTCAAGAACTTTTGCTTTATCCCAATTTTTAAGCAGGTTTTTGCCTGTGTGTGGGCCTTTTGGATCACAGTTTGCTTTTGCCTTCTTTTAGAACAAATTCTTCTTCTTGTGAACTCTTTTTCATTATTCACACCAATCATGGCTAGTTGTCCCAAAGTTAGGTTTTCAAAACTGGAGGTTTAGTTTTTGATCAGCTTAGAGCTTTATCCCTTTCCAAATTGGCCATTTTCTCACTGTAAAGTTATTTTATTTTTCTTATATTTTCCTTAGTTTAGGTTGCATTATTATTGTTTTAAAGTTTTTAAATGTCCCTGACTCACTCTTTATTGTAGACAATAAAGTCTACAATTAACCTTTGCGAGTATTCTGACACTGCCTACCTGTGTTTATATAGAGAGCATGTCGAAGTATGGGAAAGTCCTCACTTGGGTATGGCACAAGAGTGCCACCTAAATCATCTCGTCAATCGACCTCATGCTGACTGCCTGAATAGACAGGATTCACTTTTTCTTTTGCAAAAAAGCAAGCTGTTGCTGCGTAAACCCACTTATACGGTACAAAGGCTGCTGCCATCCACTGGACATCTGGATTTTTGCTGCCTGCAAATGGTTGGCCTACAAAAAGCACAGCTGGTGAAAACCAGATCATGCCTTCACAATTGGACCAAGGATTGTTAGGAAGCTGGTTTCAGCACCTAGATAATCCCTGATTTGATTGCTAGACCCAGGACATTGTACATAGAGCATGTTCTGTGATTCAGTGCCGCAATACCTAGTTTCCTTCAAAGAGGCAGGTTTTCAGTCCTCCTCCATAGGGTTGAAAGGATGAATGTTTGAAAGAGAAGAAGGAAGGGGGAGGAATATCCCAAAATGTGCTGAACCCCAAGAGCCTGTTCAAGTTAGTAATAAGTAACTAGTTCAGCTAACTCTAATGACTTTACTGGGAAATAAGAAACTAGTTCAGCTGACTCTAATGATTTTACTGGGAATTCTTTATGTGCAGTTTTTACCTTCCTTTGTTTTCCCTCCATTTCCCCAATCAACTCCTTTTTATGTCTAGAGATTTGGCTTTGTTGGTTCCATCAAGAAATGTATCTTTCAAACCTTCCTCTTACTCAACATTCAACAGCCACCCCTTGAATTTCAGGATTGGCAAAAGGTTTAAGTTCTGCATTTCTGGGCTTTCGGTAGGAAGACCCAAAGCACTTTCCCTTCTGTTGTTACTAGGGCTGGGCTGACTGGAAAAAGGGTTCAAAACTCTCACCCTGCCTCTGGACAGTCTTGGGTGCATCAAGAAATTCAGCCTGATTCATGGCAGCCTGTTGTAATTATTTTAAGGGGGCACCTTTGAAAGAGGAGCTCTGCCAGTAAGGCTTTAAAGCAGTTTTTTTCAAACCTGACAACTTTAAGATGTGTAGACTTTAGCTCCCAGAATTCCCCAGCCAGCATGGAATTATATCTCAAACAGCAAGATGGAAAGGGCAAGATGATATAACACCTTCTCATTGAGAATATTTAAACATTCATTGCATTGAGAATATTTAAATATTCATAGCAGACAGGGAATGAATACCAGCCAATTTATGAAAAGCAGGTACAATGCTTTTAAATTTTACATTAAAAGAAAATTTGAAATCAAATTATAGTGATTGTTTTTTTCGGAAAGGGAAATTAGAATTTTTCCCACGTTTGAAATTCTCACAGATCCATTCTGGTTTAAGGCATAAAATATTACTTTAAAGTCTCCTAACTTCATGCAATTTGTCAGTGTCTTTACTCCCGGCTCAGAAACGGACTTGGTAAGATAACTTTTTCTTCCAACACGTACATGGGCTGTGGATGAGATGAAGTCAACATTATGGGGAGTCAAGTATCTTTATTGCAGTCAAATGCCAGTACAAAGTAAAACTCAATAGTAAAAAACAGGCTACAGATAAAAAAGAACAAATCATAACATTAACTGGGCTTATCAGTCGGTTGGCTGTGCATTTTGCATATGACATAGCCAAACTTAGCTATATTTAGAGCTATGTTTTTCAAACTTGGCAGCTTTAAGATGTGTGGACTTCTACTCCCAGAATTCCCCAGCCAATTCAGGGAGTAGAAGTCCACACATTTTAAAGTTGCCAAGTTTGAAAAACACTGATTTAGAATAACAGAGTCATGGACATCTGAGAGTAAAAGTTGTAAGGAAAATCGATTGGAACAACCAGGAAATTTGCTTAAATGTGGGGTTGTCAATGCTGACAGTGTGCCAGCATGAAACAGTCAATGTAATAAAATGTATTTAATACTTTCAAAAGCCCCTTTGCTACCTGGGCAAAACCTTAGTCTAAATAACATCATGAGGACATGGTAGAAGAAAGAGTCTGCCAGACCATGATGAGGATGGGTTTTTTTCAAAAAAGTCAAGATGCCCAGCCACTTCCACAACATGCAGTTAAACCCCTATCCCTTTTTTATATGCGTCACAACATAATTACATCAATTACATCTCAATGCACATAAAAAGAGGCTTTGACTACATAGTTGTAGCCATCATCTTGACTTTTTTGACCTTCCCTGAGAACACCTCTGAGCTGTGGTTAGGGGAAAAGCACTTAGTTCTGCTGAGAATACAATAATAGAGGAAGCAGCTGCTGAAAGTAAGGACACAGGAAGGTGTGGGAAGGGCAAAAGAAGAAGCAGGGAAGAGAAGCAGCTGTTGCAGTTTTAACCAGGACAGAAGGAGCACACTAGCCATGGCTTCTTCTTTCCACCCATCATACGTGAGGAT